CGTCTTGTGACGAGCTAATCGTAGTGTTCTTTGCATCTCATGATCACGAAGACCATCAATAAACGTTTGAACGGCCAACTTTTCCATCATGTCTTCTGGAGCTGTTGGATAAGCATATCGCACTAATCTGGCGATATCTACTTCATATTCTTGAAGAGCCTCATCTTTCTTTTGTCTTCGATTTTTGAGCTGCGACTGATATACATGCTCCAAGTGTTCGTGACCATATCGCATATTTAACCTCTTCTTCAGTTGTTCGAAATCATCCGTCTCCTCTACGGCTATGGTCTGGAGCACATCTAAGGCATCTCCTCGAAGAGCTATAGTCAGGTTTACAGCCTTTTCTTTTTCTGACCATCCATTCGCTCTTGCAGCTGATTCGAACTGTTTCATGTAGTTGTTCCATGACGATTTTCCGTCGAAAGTTGGAACTTTGACATGAACATAACCTCCGCTTCCTTCAAATTTCGGCCGTGTTTCCAACTTACATTTCGTCTCGTCTTCTTTTATCTCTACCGGATCTAAAGCTACCGTATTAATTGGTGGTAGCACTCTCGTGTTAGTTATCATGGTCTCTAACTGTTTGATTTTCTCTTCAACTTTATCAAATGTTTTAGAGACTTCTTCAAACTTCTCACTATTCTGAATACATACTTCGTCGAATCTTCTAGACATATTTTCAATTTTCTCGTCATTTTGTCTAGCTATTTCTTTAATAATTTGAGACGTTTCATCGAATCTTTCATCATTCTTTCGAGAAGATTCTTCAATCATTTGCGACACATTTTCAAATTTACTATCATTTTGTTTAGAACTCTCTTCGATCATTTTGGAGACATTCTCAAACTTTCCATCAATTATTTTTGTTAAAACTGCTTCTTCTGCTGACTGGAACTGGAATGTCTCTGGGTCGTCTCCATTCTTGTTGAGAACAGTCTTCAGTCGTTCTTGGAGGATCTTCTTGGACCCGCTGCAGTCTTCATCGCGTTCTTCTAGTTGCTCACGCAACTGTTTCACTGAAAGTTCTACTAGCAGCATCTTTGGTCAGGCACACACGTACTTTTTAAATGTTCTTTCGTACAACGATCACTACTGAACTACGCGGATGTTCCCGACGAACAATACCTTTCAAAAGTTCAAAAGTCTTTTTCAAAAATCAAATTAAATTTATCTACGATCCCACTTTTTCTGACACCACTGTGAAGTTTATATAGTTCTAATTTATTTGTCTATAATCTAATTTATTAAAACTCACGATAACTAATTACGAATTTATTAAAGTCTTTATTAATTCTAATTTATATTACAAATAATAATTTATGTTTCGTTACATTTAAATATCGCGGTTGCCGAGCTTCTTATCACTGACTGCCAAATAAAAATCTTTCATTTATATACACAACTGTTGTCATCCAGAGAATTCGGCGGACTTCTTGAATAATCTCGTATTTTGGTGAAGGCGCTCGACTCGTTTTTCAACCTCGAGACGTGGATGACTCATTAGTGTTAGTGTCTAGAGATTTCTGGTAAACAACTGGTAGCTAAGCTCAGGTATATTTTGACCTACAAATTACGAGAATCAATAAAAAGAATTAGTCATAAAATATTTACAGTTCTATACGCCATAACATTTAAAATCGTAACAAAAGTATCAGTGGCGTACTAAATTCTGTTTTCTGCAAAAAACAATTCACACACACGGAACGCAAACACTCAGTGTCTATTGTAGTATCAGCAGAAATTCCAGGTAAGCAGCAGGTCCACTATTAACAAACATTTAGAACATGTACCCAACTCTAAGAAGCTTAGCTTAAAGCTAAGCTTAAGAAACCATACACAACTGTTCCTCCCATCTGTAAACCAAACGGCGAATGGGCCTGTTCCAACATGCTGAACATCTTACAATAGTATTTCAAACAGAGTCAGAAGATCCTCATAAAAAAGTTGAAGAAAAGTTTAACTCCTATAGAAGTCAGAAAAGAAAAAAACAATTTCAACTCACGAAAGACCGCAAGGTTATGATATAATCTCGGCACAAGTTCTAAAACACCTCCTACACCTTCTAAAACACGTCCTACCTCGCAAGACCATTACTTTGCTAACAGTTATATTTAATCGCATGCTAAGCTGGTTATACTTTTCAAAAATATGGAAATTTGCTGAAGTCATTATGATTTTCAAGTCAAGAAAAGAGCCCAATAAAGTAACATCTTATCGACCAATAATTAGCCTTCTTCCAACCATGAGCAAAGTTTTTGAAACATTGCTGCTACAAAGGATATACGCAGATCATGAATTCCTAACATTAGTTCCAAAACATCAGTTTGGTTTTCAGGAAAATCAGTCCACTACCCAACAAGTTCATCGAATGATTAATGAAATATCAAAAAGTCTTGAAGAAAAGAAATACTGTAACGCTGTATTTCTAGACATCTCACAAGCATTTGACAAAGTCTGGCACAAAGTTCTGCTTTACAAAGTAAAAAAAGCACTCTCCAATAACTATTTCCTCCTACTTAATCCATACTAAATTACGCTTCAACAACAATGGCTTATGACTCACAGAAACTGCAGCAGCTAATAATATGCTAATAAAGTCAACCATGTTTCCGCAAAAAGGCATCCATAAGTAAGCCTGGGTCTCAAACGACCATATTACGCAAAAACCAAATTGCGCACAATTACGCACAAATACAATAAAACAACAATAAACCCACAATGGAACATGGACGAAATGCACAAATACAGAGAAACAACAAAACTATAGAGAACAACTTGAACAAACCTTGAACTCTGAAAGAGAATACAATGATATAGAACAGCTCTAGGAAACGATTGCTGAAATAATAACCAAGCCATCGAAAAAGATCTTTGGAAGGAATAGGCGGAAGAGGGCAAAAACGTGGTATGACGAGGAATGTAGGAAACAGCTGGAAAAAAGGACCACCATCAGGTCTCTTCATTATTGATTCCTACATATCAAATCGATATTTTTCTGTAAAATTTAAAGACCAACAGTCCAACCTCTGGCCTATCAACTCCGGAGTCCCAAATGGTAGTGTTCTTGGGCTTATGTTTTTCTCACTCTACACAGCTGATATATCAGAGACTAACAATACTACAATCACTTCCTTTGCTAAAGACGTACCAATACTAGCTGTAAATGAAGCTCCCATACAAACCTCACAAAATTTGCAACATTATCTAAACATACTTGGTGATTGGAATACAAAATGGAGCACAAAAGTAAATAAAACAAAATCAACTCAAATAATATTTACGAGCCATCACAACATATGCCCACCTGTAACGATAAAAAATGGAAAAATACCAACAGTAACAGATGTTAAATACCTTAGCCTCCATCTTGACCAATGTCTCACTTTGTAGCATTTTTAATTTCATTGATTCTTTGAAGTATATTGAAATCTCCATGTATATGAAATATATGGAAATCGCCTTATATATGTATAGAGTCTAGGCACTAGACTCCAACACAGATCAGAGGTAATGTAAGTCAATAAAACTTCACCAACTACAGGGGGTCATATAAGATGCCCCCAGTTTCATTTTTAATATCACACAATTTAAGAGTCTATTACATTTACCTGAATAAATAACACGAAGATTATTTTTTAAATCCAGATGTCCATCGAGTGTTTTTTATGTGGCCACACAATGTTTTTTAACAACTTTTTATTAAACTGATGATGGAATGATACAATTCCAAAAAGATCTTCTTTATAATAAAAAATTTTAAGCTTTTTTTATAACTCAGTACACACGAACACCACGTGCTTTGTATTCAACAGGTATACTAGCCACTCCTGGATATCTCCACTTCATGGTTTGTTCCAGTTTCACTTTTAAAAATTCTTGTATTTCTTCATGTTGTAACTGTTTGTGGTGACACAAAAATAAATGTTAAATTTTGTTTTCTTAACATTTTATTTATTTTTTTGAGCTAACCCTTTTTTGATTTTTATTTGAAAAAGATATGTTTTTGATGTTGTATAATTATTCCCCCAGTTACAACTATTGGTTGTAATAGGCATAATTAGGCACCTCAAGTGGCGCCCTATAATAAATTTCTTGAGGTGTTTCCTGTTTATTTTTACTTTGTTTATCCCAAGAGATTAACGACCCCTTTATTTCATTTTTTGTAGTTGCCTCAATCCAACCCCCTTATCTTTTACTTATCCACGACCCCAGCTCTCCTACCAAACCCTGAGTGCCATTCGCACAAGTAGCAATTATTTTGCTTGCCTTATCTCCACCCCCAATAGTTTCTTCCCTCAATTTTCTACCCCCTGTATTAATGAACCATTTGGTAGGCAAAATATCTTCGTTACAACTTGGAAGAAACATATCCAGACCAAAATTGGGCAACTCGACTTAAAATTTCGGCAAATATATTGGCTTCTTGGGCGTAAATCAAAACTTAACATCCAAAACACAATTTTTCTATACAAAGTCATACTTAAATATATCTGGTTCTACAGACTACACCTATGGGGCTGTGCAAAGCTAACGTCGCTGAATATTATCCAAAGATTCCAGTCTAAAGTGCTAAGATCGATAGTATATGCACCATGGTACGTAAGTAATTAAACACTTCACTACGACATAAAGATTCCTTTTGTCAGAGTCACAAAATTAATGTACCATTCACCATGAAAATGAGCTAGTAAGGGAATTATTTAACAATGGTCCAGCTACAAGAAGACTAGATAGAACCTGGCTATAGGGCAACTTTAAAACGAAACCAAAATAGAATAAGGTGAGATATCATTGGATGATTCTGCGTCACGCGCAAAACCTGTAACACATTTACATAATACTATGTAATGATGTAGATTGTAAATAAATAATAATTATAAAAAACAATGATATGACTTTATATCATTGTTTATTATCTTCATTTTATAACAATACGTTCTTCAGTGTTATCACTAACGTACATTGAGGTAAGTCTGAAAAGATAGGGCGGAATATCAGTACGATGTACATGGAGTTTTTATTCAAGTGGTTAAATTTTTTAGTATAAAGCTACACCACCAGTTCACCACACTTTACAATATTATTTGCAGAAATGAAGATTTCCTTTGTTTTGGCTATTTTAGTTTGCGTCGGTAAGTAGCGTTGTTGAAAATTTTAGTAATATATCTGATTTTTAGAATGTTTGATTTTATTTATCTCTTTTGGCTCCTCCTGTTATTAATTTAATTTATATTCAATTGTTTTTCTTGCCTTCTTATTTTTGTAGACCTTACTTTTTGTTCTTCAGTATGTGTTGTTGGATCTTAACATAGAAACTTGTGAAAAATATGTTCTGTTTCCCTTTACTATTTTTTTGACGAATTTCTGGTTTTTCTGTTTCATCCACGCTTACTACAACTTCTCCTTGATGTGTTAAACTTTCTACTGTTTTAATATCGTCCGCTAATTAAACTGTGCATCAATTTTCTCTAGCTCTTTCCTGTGTTCGCTTTTTTGTTTTTTAACTATTTATTTCTTTCCCCATCTCTTTTACTGCTTTTTGTAATTATAAATATATATCTGCAACCTCGTTGATTCTAAGAAATGTAATGCTTAGAATTAATTATATCCCCAAATTATTTTGTATTTGGTATTTTCGAAATAAAATTCAGAGCAACAAATATACTATTTCTAAATAAAATTGTAGGTTATTCTTATGTAAAAAGGTAGTTAAAAGATTTTCCTTATATACTAAAACAATTTTTTTAGGTCTAACCGCCAGCGCCCAAGATGATGGGGAGTAAGTGAATAAAAAATTTTTTTTTATAAAATTATGCTGAATTAAAAGTAACGTCATATGTTTTTAATCAAGAGACTCATAATCAGAATATTTTATTTGATGATAACACTCACCTCGAACCGTTTATCAGTTGATTAAATTAATTATAAAAATAATATTCCAAAGATAGCATAACAATACTTATGCTTACATCATTAGTTGCTCAAGAGCATATGCTAAGTTGTTGTCTTCAAAATATTCATATTGAGTTATACCATAGGTATAGCGAACTTATTTACAATATTTACAAAAATGCCACTATAGCTGTTAAGATACATGATAAAACATGACCAATAAAAATAAAACGTGGGATAAGGCAAAGAGATGCATTTTGACGGAAATTATTCATAACGGCATTAGAGTATCCCTTTAAGATGGTTAATTGGGACCACAGTGGAGTAAACATAGATGGCAAAAAATTTAGCCATCTTCGTTTCGCAGATGACATTGTCCTTATCACAGATACTTCCGGAGAAACTACAGATATTTTAAATGACAAATATATTTTAAGTTTATGACAAATATATTTTAGTAACTACCAGTAAATGCCAGTAACGACATAAGTTAGGGTTTATTTGGAGTAGCTAGGTCGTGAATAAGAATGGCAAGGGGGTCAAATTTGGGCAACTACAAAACAGAAACACAAGGGTACTTACCTAAATCTCCTGGACAAATGGGCAACACAAAACACAAGAAAGACCTCTAGCAATTTGAAATAGACGCCGCTTCAAGGTGTCAAATTATAACGACTACAATAACTAGTTGGGTGAGAGACTAAGCTAAGAAAATAAACAAATTGGTTTAAAAAAAAATAGAAATTTATTGTGTCTTACTACAAACAGTTACAAAAATAGACGATACAAAGGTACTATATTAATAGTCATAAAAATAATAAGGCTAGCTGTCATATGTCAAAATCTTAATCTTACTTACAACAGAAAACAAATAAAATTGACAGCATAGCCACACCCTAAGATATATTATATATTAATTATTACAATTCCTTTAAATTACGAAAGCAATTCTTATTTTAATGTTTATTTTTCATTTAAAAGTTTAAAACAAAAAAGTTACCTTGATTTCACAAAAAAATATGCACTAAACTACTAAGATACTGAAATTTCTGCTGCACACAAACAAAAAGGACTACATCTATGTTATGGAACGTTGATCCATAGGCGAGGTAGAAACAAATCAGCGGCACATTTTCACAAAACTGGAGCCATTTTCAGAACTCTGATATACGACACTAATCTTTTAGGTATTTGTAAAATATGTAGTTATTACTCTTCCAAATTTGACATATTTACAGAGAGTAAATTTTCACTACTTTTAACAAATTCGCTGGTTTTTACCAACTCATAAACCTTCGCTCACCGCCGCAACAGTTTCACAGCTTCTCTGTAACTACACATATTGCACAATTAACTGCCACTACACACTAGATTTTTATAAAACGGGACGAAACATTTCAAATTTGACGAATAAATTTGGATCCACACTGAAGCCAAGTGCCCCTGACAGCGACCTCAGTGAGAATAAATAAATTATCTTTAAAATTAATTCGCTTATTAAAACATATATGGTTAAATTACTATTTCTTTGACGCACAAAAATCCCAAGCCGGCTTTGATTAAAGAAATATTAAGAAAAACGCGCATCTATGAAATATAACAAACTATAAAATGGATTACATTAACTCAAGCGACGCAAAAAGAATTAATTACTATTTGGGTTTTAACTCGTACGATAGAAATAGAGAAACGTGGAAAACATTCGCCATTATTTTAAATATATAGAAGGGGATTTCAATTTAATATATATACGAGAGTATTACAATATATACCAAGGAATTTAAAAATGCTACAAGCCAAACATGCAAAATCCAAAGACGAATGACTTTAGCTTGAGCAGCTTTTTAAAAACTGCGGGACACAATTAATGTTAATATAAAAATTAGCCTTAAAAGAAAAGTATTTGGAACGATCTATACAGGAAGTGACGTTGCAGGATTGAATAAGAAACGAATATCTGCGAAGAAAGACGAGTATTGCTGATGTTATGGAACGCCTAGCGGAACCAAAATCGAATTGGACAGGCTATGTAGCGAAAATGCATGAATTACGATGGACGAGCAAAATTACACATTGGAGACCAAGTATGGTATTATTTCAAACAAATTTCGCATTTGATTATATAAACTATGTTTTAAATAAATTAAATTGAGGGTATACACAAGAAATAGAGTCGGTGGAAATGTGCAAGTCATCAGAATGTTGGAGTGCGACCTTGTTGTCGTCGGATAACAAAACAAACTTGACCTACGTATAAACGACTGCTGATATAGCAAGGACGAATATAGAAGAGACAACAATTATTATCATAGTCAATACTAAATCATCGTCAAGATGGTTATAGTCTAGTCGATATACCACGTATTGGTAATTATGAAGTAATCTCGGTGCAACGTCAACTAAGTACCAATTACATTTAGCATGACGAGTAGTATTGTAAGAGTGTACAGTTAGTGTTTTAAATAAATGTATCATGTGACACCATAACTCCGTTATCAACCATACGACACCATAAGCGAAGCTAATTTAATTAAGAGCAGACAAACGTAGTAGAGGAAGACTACCTACACGTTGAGCTGACATCAGGCGTATCACTAAAAATTGGCAACAAAGAGCACAGAATCGCAAAGAATGGATGAGTTTCAGGGAGGCCTATGCCCTGCAGTGGACGTGATAAATAAAGGCTAGATGATGATGGTGATGATGACAACGATGCTGGTGATGATCTCTTTGATCATTGCAAGGTTAAGCTATCTAATCTATATGAGGTTTTAGTTTTTTCTACCATTCTTCGTTTTCATATAATATAGAAGAATAAAAAGTCATTACAAGCATCGCGCAGCTGATATATTTACTCTTTCTACTCTATGTCTTAGTATGTAGCTGCATATGGTTTGTGTTTATTACTTTTACTCATGCATGCAAATATATTTTATTTTTTTTTTATTGAGTTAATGCCGCGACAACTAATGATCATTGGCATGGTACAGTCAGGTACCTAGTGTAGTGTGTGTGTGTGTGTGTGTGTGTGTGTGTGTGTGTGTGTGTGTGTGTGTGTGTGTGTAGAGTATTTGTCTTGATACTTAGCAAAGTCGACGTCATTGTCTTTGCTAAGAGACGCTAATTGTATCCGAACGTCTGCGGTCCCTCCGGTGAGTACCGATCGCACAAGGATACAAATTATTTTCATTCATTAATTTTTAATAATTTATTTAAATTTAATTAATATAAATAATAAAAAACTTATTTTTTTAGCATTTTGTGCGATTTTTGCGTAAGAGTGGCAAAACAGATCCAAGATTACGTACGAGAAGGTATTCCATTGGTAAGCTACTTTTAAATTTATAGAAAAATATCACTCATGTGGAACCAATATATACAAAACTGAAAAATAGTTATTTGCCTTCGATTCAATATGTTTTTTATTTCTACCCACGATTATCTAATATTTGCTGCTCTTCTATGCCCTGTTGTACCGGCTTGTTTCCATATGTCGTAGTCTCATTTTAAGTTAGGACGTCGTCTTGTCTCTTGACGACTCTTGGATACCACCGTATGATTTTATTAAACATTCTGTGCAAACAAAAAAATTCTGTAAATTACATTAGTGACCTTGGTTTTCTATCTGAATATTCTATTCTTTTGCGATCTCTGTTTGTTATCCCTAGCATGCATCGCTTCATTCATCTTTAGGTAACTTTCAGTTTCGTTATTATCTCTCTAGTGTCCACGTTTCCAGGCAGTTGTATATATTTAATGATTAGTATATTTTATCGGTCAACAATAAAACCGATTCGGGTGACATACCCAACGAATGGTTGACCTCAACATTCATTTGTCTCCCAAAAAAGAAAAATTCCAAAGAATGCACCGACCACCGTACCATAAGATTGATGTCTCACACACTGTTTTTAAAGATCATTCATAAACGCATTTACAAAACACTTTATGGATATGGACATTGAAGAAACTCAATTGAAGAAACCCGTGAAGCTCTCTTTGCATTTAACGTAATAATCCAGAGATGCTTGGATGTGAACCAAGATATGTACGTCTGTTTCATAGACTACAACAAAGCTTTCGACAAAGTCCACCACAAAGAGCTAATGGACATCCTTAAAGCAAAACAACTACAACACAATGATCTTCGAATTATAACAAATCTATATTATAAACAGCAGGCAAACGTACGCATTAATGAACACACATCAGAAGAGTTCGAAGTTAAAAGAAGAGTGCGACAGCAGTCGCGCACTCTGAAATCAAGTGTACAATACATACAGTACATACAAGCGCACAACAAATCAATAAGAAAGCAGTCTGAAATCAAAAAATTAAACTCCTTTGAGATGTGGTTCTACAGGAGAATGCATAAAATATCGTGGATTGAAAAAGTAACTAATATAGAGGTGTTACAAAGAATGAAGAAAGAATGTGAAGTCATAAAAACTGTTAAAATTAGAAAGATTCAATATCTGGGATATTTAATGAGCGGTGAGAAGTACGTATTACTGAGGTTGATTATGCAAGGAAAGATACAAGGGAAGAGAAACCCAGGACGACGCAAAATGTCCTGGCTAAGAAATTTGAGAGAGTGGTTCGGTTGCAGCTCATTAGAATTATTCAGAAATGCGGCCAACAAAGTTAAAATAGCGATGATGATTTCCAACCTCCGCTAGGAGAAGGAACCCGAAGAAGAAGAAGCGACAGGGGTGTGTATTGTCACCATTACTATCCAATGCATACTCTGAAGAAATTATGAAAAGAGCTCTTGAGGAAAAAACAGCAGGAATCAAGGTCAATGGAATACCAATTAACAACATTAGATATGCGGACGATACTATCATAATAACAGACAACCTCCAAGACCTCCAGAAGCTAATGAACAAGATAGTTGAGTATGGAGAATATGGATTATCAATAAACACCAAGTAAACCAAATGTATGAGGATATAAAAAACCCAAAATAATGGTGAAAGCCTGACAATTAACGGTACTGATTTAGAACAAGTTGAAAGCTACCACTATCTCGGCACAATAATTAATCACGCAAACGATTACTCCAAAGAAATCAAAGTTCGAATAGAGAAAGCACGTACAAACTTCAATAAAATGAGAAAGGTACTTTGTACAAGAGAACTAAAATTGGACTTGAAAGTTAGGCTGGCAAGGTGTTGTATTTTCTCGACTCTGCTTCATAGGATGGAAACATGGACACTTAACGCGTCGACTGCTAAAAAGTTGGAAGCATTTGAAATGTGGTTGTATAGAAGAAGAAGTAAAGAAAAGAAGATATTTTATACACTTATCGAAAGCTTTGTTTTTCATTTGTAATATCATTCTGGTTTTAAATATTTTTATCAAGAAATGTCTTATTCAGTTTAATAATTCTTATATTGATTTCTGGGAGTAATTTAACACTTTGCCTGTTCCTTTTTCTTTTTAAAATAATGACTTAGATTTTCTCTGCCGAATGTTTCAGTCCGTCCTGGGTCATCCATTTCTTTACGATGTTGCCTGCGTTTTGAATCCTGTTTTGTGACATGGCTCATCCCGGCCACTACCAGTACAAGGTCATCCGCGAATGCAAAGGAGGTTGTACCCTCTCCATATTCACAGTTCATAACCCTGTCATATCCCAGGTTCCATAGCGTCAGGCCCCAGACAGATCCCTGAGGGGCCTCAGCTGTCACGTCCACGATTGTGCCCTTCCACCATAATCCTTTCTCTCCGAATGACCTCCGTTAACGTGAACAGCATAGGCAGAAGAAGAAGATCTGCACTTTTGAATTCTCTAAGCGTATGGATATGATTCTCTTCTAAAGCCACCTTGCTCTCTTGACTCTGCAGCATCTAATAAAGTTGTTAATCTCTTGTTGATGATCTTTGTGAATATGTTGTGTAGTTTTTGATATCGTTTTCAGAAAATAGCTTTAAAACAATATTTACAATATATTGTTATACTAGTGTTTTACGTTTTGTATCTGTTTTTTTTTTCAATAAAATGTTTTTAAAAATAGTTTTTAGTTCTTCCTACACACAATATAAAATATTTGTATGAATTTTATATTAAAAACAATTTTTTTTAATTGTCGGTCTCAGACACCGTAGCGACTCTTGATGCTCAGTTTTTCCTAGCGACTAACGGAGGGTTAAAATAACAAAAGAAATATCAAAAGGGCGTAGAGAGAAATTATACAGGGTGAGTTATAACTATTGGGACATAGACTAAGGACAGGTTATTTGGACCAAAATGTGGCTGTTGGGCCAAATATGCCTTAATAAAATGTTGCTGAGAAAAAAGATACAGGGTGTTAAAGTTAATTTTTGTTTTTCGTTTTTTGCTAATAGTTTCCCTGTACATTTATAAATTGCTATCAAAATTGGCACAGAGGCATAGTTTTAGACAAGAAATAATATTTTATTTACAATTTTGCGTTTTGTCATAGAGAGCGCCACTTGGATCATTGAGTCTAAACTTTTTCTGATGAAACTTTTTAGTTATTTTTATTAGAAAATATGACGTAAAATTAGTACTCTTGTTTAAACATGATAATTTTAACCGTTTTCGATAAAAACGCAGTCGAACTGCTTAGAGTCTTAAAAAAGGATATCAAATATTATTTCATTTATAAAAAGTATACTTTGGACTGCCAGATAATTGTTGTTCAGAATAAATTATTTATGATGTGACAGTGTAGTGTAATGTTGCATTTTTTACAAGTAATCATTACTTTTTTTGATTGAAATGCCTCGTCACAATCATTTCACTAATAAAGAAATGCGGGATATGATTTGCTTTGCGTATACGCACAAGAAAATTTTTGCGGTCGCTCGGCAGCTAGAAGGTATGGAATGGTATACGCAAACAGAAGGCAACCAAATTACAAAACTCTTGCAAGATTATATTGTAGTTTAGGTGAAACTGAGTCATTTTACACTAAAAATAGGGGTGGTTGACCGAAACAAATCACATCTAATCAAGAAGATGAACTTTTGGTTCGAGTAGATGAAAATCCTGAAATAAGTTCACGACATCTATCAGCAGCAACAAGAGTAAGTCAGTTATCTATTGTTAAAATTCTAAACAAAGAGAACCTTCATCCGTATCACTTCACTTGTGTTCAAAATTTACTTCCAACAGATCTTCCACGACGGTTACAGTTTTGCCAATATTCTGAATAAACATCGCAGTGATAGACATTTTAATAAGAATATTATGTTCACCGACGAAGCAACTTTTACCAGACGAGGGGTTTTTAATTGGTGAAATAGTCATTATTGGGAAGAAGAAAACCCGCATGCTAATAAAGCTAGACATTTTCAGCATGAGTTTAAATTGAATATTTGGTGTCGAATTATAGGCGACCAACTACTAGGGCCTTATGTTCTTTCTCCGAATTTAAATGGAGATTCTTATTTATTCTTGGAAAATACTCTTAGTGATATTTTAGATGATCTGTCACTGAATGTAAGAAGAAAAATGTGGTTTATGCAGGATGGAGCGCCACCTCATTTTTCATTAGCTGTTAGAAATCATCTTATTGACAGAATTCCTCAACGATGGATTGACAGAGGCAGTGATTTTCAATGGTCACCAAGAATTCCTAAGTAGAACCTGCTAGATTTTTATTTTTGGGGACATATGAAGTTCTTAGTTTATGCCAATGAAATTTATACAGGAGACGAACTTTGAAGATACATTCCAAATGAGGGGACGAAATAATATTTTTTAACGTCCGAAAATCCTTTATAAAAAAAATTAGAAAAGGCATAGAAATCGGAGGAGACCATGTAGAACATTTAGTTTAAGTTTTTGTTAGTTCTTTTAAGTTAAAGTGTGTTTAGTTTTAATTTATCGCCCAAACGGAAACCTTACGTTAGTTGCAACTTTGTTTATTAGTTTGGTATTGATAGTGGAATTGTAAATAAAATACTATTTCTTGTCTAAGATTATGCCTCTGTGCCAATTTTGATAGCAATTTATAAATATACAAGGAAACTATTAGCAAAAAACGAAAAACAAAAATTAACTTTAACACCCTGTATCTTTTTTCTCGTCAACATTTTATTAAGGCATATTTGGCCTAATAGTCATATTTTGGTCCAAATAACCTGTCCTTAGTTTATGTCCCAATAGTTATGACTCACCCTGTATAAACAAAATTTAGTAAATATTTACACATCATAAAAGTTGAAGATGAATAATTTGATAGAAACGTGCTAAAAATAGTAGCCCAAAATATATGAGGAACGACGAGTTAATGTGCTCAAAACTCCAATACAAACAAGCGTTAAATCCAACGTTGTATGTATAAATGTTCAAAGATTTTTACTATGTCTTTCTGTCTGCTTCTATAAGGTCAAAATTTTGTTACAAAAAAAGATTTCTAAAAATACAAAAAAAATATATAGTTTTTAATATAGTTATATAACCTAAATAGTAATAAAAGCAATTCAAATTTTTAATAAGTTTTAATTATATTGACAAATGGATTTTTTTTCTCATAGGACAAAGTTGAAGAAGAAGTGATAGAAACATGTCATTGGTTAGACGTGATACCAGATTTGGCAGAAAAGTGTTTGAAAAAATACCTTCCGATAATTGACGAAATGTACGACAAACTCAATAGCACGTCGCCTCAAAAAGTATGCGAATTGTTGGAATTTTGTGTAGAAAATTAGTATCGCTGTTAGAAAATTACCATTGAGAACTTAAAATAAACTTTTAAACCAAATTATTTTTTTTTACTAAAATAAACAAAATTGGTCTCATTTATTGAGTTGTTTTTATTTTTATTGAGTGTGAAACAAACATTAAATATTAAAATTTATTCTGCATCATCAAAACTCAAAGACATCTTTAAAAGCAATATACCAATTTCTTTCAAACGAAAAAAAAATGGGATTAATGACATCAACTTTGACATTGACAGCTAAAAGTTCTAAAACGCTGCAAACAGCTCAGAGGAAAATGAAAAGGTTAATCCTGAGTATATCGCTTCGTGACAGAGTTAGAAATGAAGACTTAAGATAAAGAACAGGATTTACCGATGTAATTTCCTAAATTCTTCTTCTTCTAGTTCCATGACCGTTACCGATCGTTCGATATCATGTTGGCTACCATATTCGATATCGTGACTTTATTGACAGCAGCTCTAAATATCGATGTAGTTGATTTTCCATACCATTGCCTTAGATTTTTTACCATGATGTCCTTCTTCTACTAGGATCACGATTACCTTGGATCTTTTCCTGAATGATCAAATGTAAAAGATCATATTTTTTAGAGTGTCTCATAATGTGGCCGAAGTATTCCAGCTTGCGTTTCTTTATTATATTGACCAGTTGTGTTGTTTGGCTCAGCCGTCTAAGGATCTCCTCATTTCTAACTCTGTCTACCCAGTTTATTTTCAGTAGTCGTCTTTATACCCACATCTCAAAGGCTGTCAAGCGTTTAAACACAGCCTCAGTTGGAGTCCACGCTTTCACTCCATACAGCACGACACAAAAGATGTAGCAAGATGTCATACGAACTGTAAGGTCAATGCTAATATCGTACCTGCAAAGTACGTTTCTCATTTTTACAAAGGCAGCTCGGGTTTGTTTTATTCGGCTCTTAATTTCTGCGGTTGGATCCCAGCTCTCATTCATATTCCTGCCGAGATACACGAGTTTCTCTACTCTGTCCAGTGTGGTATCTCCGACTTTTATACCGTCATCCTGTATATAATTTTGTTTGCTAACTATCATATATTTAGTTTTCTTAACGTTGAGTTTTAATCCATACTGATCACAAGTCTGTTTTATTTTGTTCATTAGATTTTGAAGGTCTTGACGGTTACTCCATTCACAATAATACCTTCGGTTGTCTCCATTAGGGCTTCCTTAAATATTTCCTCTGAATATAAGTTAAAAAGTAAAGGCGACAATATACAGCCTTGTCTCACTCCTCTTTTTATATTTATTTCATCCGACAGTTCTTGTTCAACCTTTATTCTTGCCACTTGATGCTAGTATAGTTTTGTAATTATTTGTAGATCTTTATCGTACAATCCAGCTGTTTCCAATATTTCTAGCATTTTTTTATGTCGGACTTTGTCAAAAGGCTTCTCTGCATCTCTGTACCAGCACCTGTATACTAAACAAGGCTTCTCTTGTACCCAAGCCACTCCTAAACCCAAATTGAGTATTGCTTATTCTGTCCTCTAACAGCGTGTAAATTCTGCTGTGTATTACTCGCCGGAAGATCTTCAAAACGTGACTCATCAGACTTATTGTACGATAAATATCGCATGTCTTTGGACAATGTTTCTTAGGTATTGTGACAAATGTTGACTTTAACCAATCAGTTGGTAATATCCCAGTGTCATAAATTCCGTTAAAGAGATTACACATAGCTTTAATTCCATTTTGTCCCAAAAACTTTAGTATTTCAGCACTTGCTTGATCGGAACCAAGTGCTTCTTCATTTTTTGCCGTTTGTATTGAACGTCTTACCTTACTTTCTGTTATAGATGGACCTGATATAGCAATCGGTGTATAGTGTTCTATTTTCTCATCTTCTATTATTTCAGAAATGTAATTTTCCCATTATTTTAACTTTTCATTGATGTCTAATATTCTGTGTCCGTTTCTGTCTTCTAAACTTTGGGATACTTGTTTTCGTTTATTGCGTGGATCTTCTTGTATTCGTTTTTATCTTTATTTCGGACTTCTCTTCCTTGATATATAAGTCTCAGTATTTCTTCTGTCATCCACCCTTATTTTTTTCTTGCTTTTAGTGCACTCAATTTTGTTTCTTGAACAGTCTTTAAGATGTCTTTAATTCTCGTCCAGTTTTCCTCAGTACTTTCTTCTTTGCTTGATGTTAGTTTCATTTTTTGTTCTAATATACTAGTTATTTCTTGTTTTGCAGTATCATTTAGCATCGTTTTTCTAATTTCCTAAATTGCCACACTGAAATGGACCTGGGCGGAATCATTGATGAAAGGTGGACGAAAAGATTGCTTGAGTGGAGGTCGAGGTTAGACAAAAGAAGTAAAAGACCCCTACTCGTTGGACTGACGATCTTAAGAAAATGTCAAAAATTGGATGAAAAATGCTCAGGAAATAGCATAATGGGCAAGGTATGGGACGCGTATATCCAGCAGTGAACGCAAAGGGCAAGGTGATGATGATGATGAAAACAAAACTAAAAAAAATAGAATATTTATTCCACACCTTAGTATTTAAGTCCAATGATGAAGACATAGAATGTCTATTTGCTACAGATAGAACGGGCATAGAAATTTTTCGGTCCGTAATGAGTGCCAAGAGATTTACAGTTTCCGTAAAATCTAAATCCCAAAATTGAATCAAGGAATCAGCCCAGAACAAGAGTCACCGCTAGTGAAAAGTACTCGTATCTGTCATTCGACTTTACTTTGACTTGAAAATAAATTGACACGACAATCTTTTTCTTTTTCACTGTGTGACAAGGACAGTTTCGTTTCAATGTGCAGCCAAAAAAGTTCGGTTCGAGTAGCCGATCAGCAAGGACGCGTTCTTTGAGGAGTAGCAACCGACCTGAGTTTAACGGAGCTTTTTAGCTCCAGCGGTGAGTAAGACACCGCAGTGGCTTGGGCGCTTGATACAAATCAAAGGGAAGAGTAAATGCGAGTTTATTAATAGCTTAAACAGCGAGAGGTTGTATTTATAGGCCTCTCTCGGAGGGCTATAATAATTAGCAAACACGAAGATTCGGGATCTTTGCATGGTGTCGACAGGGTTGACACTGTAAGGCCTAGTTTTGAACCTAGGTCGGACAGCAACGGCCCCTGCGCCTGTAAAGTGAGAAACGGCAAGAGGCAATGTGCGGCAAGCATGAGCTCGGTGGCCAGACCGGTCGGATGCCCAGCTGGCGAGGAGAACAAATTAACTTTTGCCAAATCGGCAGCTGAGTGTCCGAACACACACATTTCCCTGTAGGGAGGGGCACCAATCTAGGTTGGTGCCTCTCCGGTGCTACCCAAATAGCCCGACGTAAAGTTCATAAGCCTTTGTTACGTATGTCACACGTAGCAAAGGGGTGGAGGAAAAACCTGGGGGTCAGATAGGTACCGATCCAGAATGATTAGCTCTTCTGGAGCGAGACCGGTTTGATCTTCGGACATGTGGATCCCACTGACTTCTTCTTCTTCTTCTAGTTTCATGACCGCTATCGATCGTTGGATATTATGTTGGCTACCATATACCAATAACGATGTAGTTGATTTTCCATACCATTGCCTTAGATTTTTCAGCCATGATGTTCTTCTTCTACCAGGACCACGATTACCTTGGATCTTTCCCTGAATGATCAGATGTAAAAGATCATATTTTTCAGGGTGTCTCATAATATGACCGAAGTATTCCAGCTTGCGTTTCTTTATTATATTGACCAGTTGTGTTGTTTGGTTCAGCCGTCTAAGGACCTCCTCATTTCTAACTCTGTCGACCCAGCTTATTTTCAGTAGTCGTCTGTATACCCACATCTCAAAGGCTGTCAAGCGTTTAAGCATAGCCTCAGTTAGGGTCCACGCTTCTACTCCATACAGCAGGACAGGAAAGATGTAGCAAGATATCATACGAACTCTAAGGTCCATGCTAAGATCATGACTGCAAAGTACGTTTTTTCATTTTTACAAAGGCAGCTCGGGCTTGTTCTATTCGGCTTTTAATTTCTGCGGTTGGATCCCAGCTTTCATTGATATTACTGCCGAGATACACGAGTTTCTCTACTCTGTCCAGTGTGGCATCTCCGACTTTTATACCGTCATCATGTATATAATTTTGTTTGCTAACTATCTGACTAACTGACTAGCAGTGGTATACACATGTCACTAGGGGTTGGGTTGAACGCTTCGCGTGTGTATGTGTGTGTGTGTGTGTGTGCAGCCACAATCGATAAACGCCACAACCGTCGACTAACCTAACATCTTTTTAAACTTTTTCTAAACAATATTTTATGAAGAGGAAATATGCCTGTTCCAATTTATATTATATATTATAGATGTTTGATTTAGTTACAGTGGATAATTGCAGCTTTTTGATTGAAATCTTAATTTTTAGAATTTTATTTCAAGAGAAATATGCAGTTTTTAAACAAGATTTGAATTTCCTACGAAGTAATCTTACACTACAAGTGTAAAAAACTTAAGAATAAATATATTTTAGAAGTGAAATACGACCTTTTGAACAGAAACTGCTGAAATATTTTATACTAAGAAACAATTACTTACAGGAGTTCATAGTTTCTTCCTTATCTCAAATCTGTTCATTTAATTACAATAATGTTATCACCTGTAAATCACACTAGAAAATAGAGGTCAAATAGGGAGAATCATGCAGGAATTCAGCTTAACAATTTTCGTTCAAGTGGTTTAGTTTTTGTATATAAAGCTTGTTCAGTGATGCACTTTACTGTATACTACAAATCTCAAACATGAAGACTACTTTGTTATTGGCTGTTTTGGCTTGCGTCGGTAAGTATAATTTTTTTAATAAAACAATTTTTTTATTTATTTTTACAACTATATATGTTCTCCATATCTTATTACTTGTTTCTTTATTTGTTCAAATACACTGCTACTCTTTGTTCAAAGTAAAAGACAACAATTAGATTGTAGACCAAAAAATCCATAGTTGAAAATGAGTTTTTTGAGGAACAAAACCTATTTTTTATTATTCCTAATTTGTATCAATAACAGTAGG